AAAAAAAACAATTCAACATATTACGCATCATAAAACAAACAATTAAACTCAGCACAATGTGTACATGGAATAGATTCCGATTCTGACGGCTGTCTCATTTCACGGTGTCGATTCAATTTTCACAACATTTTCTGAATCCTTTCAATACTTCAACACATTATTTCAATGAGAATTTAGAAACATAATGATGAAAAAATCATCACAAAATATTGAGGACACTGAAAAACGCTGAAAAGAGATCAATCACCACATGAATGTTTCGGGAGGACAACATATCAAAACATTCGATTAATCGTCAACCCAAAGGCATACAGTCACTGATTAATGCACTGTTTCTTCGATTGTTGCTTGCGAACTTGTTAGTGCTTCTTCCTTCAGTTTCAGTTCCCTTTCGCGCTGCTCTGAAATTGTTTAAATCTCATACTCTAGAATCGATCGATGCTCATTAAACCATGGATCTGTTCATCGCCATAAAGGCAAAATTTGTCATTTCTCAGCTATCATTAACGAGAAGTTCACCAAAATGCTCAATTTCCCTCAAGTCGTATATCACGAAGCATCATCCATCCACCTCGGCTCGTGCACTAACTCACTTCGTTTCTCATTCGTTTTTCGCCATCGTCGATCTAACTGTGCCTGTTCAGCGCGTACACTGTGATAGATATCTCTGAGCTCTTGCAGTCGATCTTGCAGATTCGTGATCAACGCTTCACCCGAAAGCGTCTCATCTAAATTACCCAATCCATCGTCGCGTTAACAGCAAAGANAAAATGTGAAATGAACACACTGGAATGATGATGACGATGATAAAACAAAAACAAAAATGAAATCGAGACGGAAAACTTACCGATAGGCGATAAGTCGAATTCCTTCTCCAATTCTTCAGTGCTAACATTCTCAAGCGCCATCTTCTGTTGCATTCGTAACTTCAGTGAATGCATACTATCCTTCGGGCTCGGACAACCTATTGTTTCATGATCCATTAAATTCATGACACTATCAGCAATCACGATAAAATCAAAACTATCAGCTACACTATCAAGAATCACAACTTTACCCTCTTTTCCCTTCAGTTTCTCTCATGAAAAGTCTCAACATTATCAATAATAATAACAGCAAGTCACACAATAATTACAAACCACTGAATGATAAGATACTCACCTTCAACGTCACTTCCAGTCTCTTCATCAGAATCACGCGCGTCATCTTCAATACTCCTTCTTGACGGTCTTCCCGGCCTTCGTTCACTGCCCACCAATGATGAATGTCGATGGCGTTTACGTTTAGCACCTCGAGACGAGCCTTGCTTCTGCGATGGCGCTTGGGGAAGACGATGCGATGAGGTAGTAGAACTACGACCGGATAACGAAATCACATGGGATCCTTAAAATTTATCGCTGATTTACTGTCACCTTAAATATCTCCACACGCAGATTTCCCTAATCCAATTCAAACATCATTTGTAGGTCACATACTCAGTAATATTTGACTTCAATATTTCTTCAATGCGTCTTTGACAAGGATGAAACATTTTATCGCATTTTGCGTTACTCTCTTCATATA